TATTTTTCATTAATCTTTAAATCCATCTTCAGTCAATTCATCTTTCTTCATTATATTCCGAGTCCAAAAATATTCACAGAACAAAATAGCTCTTACTGCCCTTTGTTTCAGCTCCTGTGTTAGCCAGTGGCTTTTCTTTCCATATATACAATCTGACACCTTAGAAACTGGCACCTACACAATGCACAAGACACAGGCTGCAGTCCGTCAATTAAAACTTAAGGAAGTTGTGCTAGTGTCATATTTAAATTAGAGAATAATAGGTGGAAGGAAACCTCCTGCAAGTTTGGAGCATAGTCGCATTTCTAGGGCTCTCCTAAAGGCATATTGAAAACTAATGGCTTGTTAGTTTTGATTCATCAACCAACATTTATCTGATAGATAAAAGGGTTCTGGACTTGTTATGATGTAATTGGTAAACAAATTTCTAGTCTTTGGGGGATTACTTTAGTTATAAATCATCTTTGTCTACAATTTGCAACTTCAATGGTCAACTTACAATTTGTGGCCAGAGGAGTAAACTTTGGGCAAAATCTATATTGTTTAAAGGAACCATGAACAATTCATGACCCTCTTTTTCTTAAATGGCTTCCAGAACATTATATGAAGTTTTCTCCAGATCTAAAACCATAGACTTTACCTATAATCTGAAAGGAAAGGCAGCATTGTAGTAGAAAAAATTGACCTACTTATAACTCCAAAAACCTGCTTACTCTTGAAAATCAAATTATATATTCTGGGACAGGGGATGAAGTTTCTTTTATTTTATGTTTCCTTTCTTTTTCTTCATTAGGCTAATATTCTTTCAGTACTAAGAATGGCTGATAAGAAAATCATAGACACCTAAACTTCTCTGGATATCTGGAAACATAGGTTTGCTAAAGTCAGCCCACATTGATTTATTTATGAGAGTAGTTTTTATAAATTTTGCAAATCATTGTTAAATCCTACCATTATTAAAAATTAAGTAGATCATATAAAAATCAGGAATAATTAATACACAAAATTCATCACTTCTTAGCTATTTTTACCATACTATGATCCCAGCTTCTGAGATGATCTATACCTGCTTAAATTTTGGAATTAATATATGTTAATTAATATATACATCTGGAATTAATATACACATTTCCACAAAATTGGCTTCGAGAATTTGTAATGAGAAGGTATCAAATCTGTAGATAAATTTGGGGAGAACTAACATCTTCATAATACTTAATCTTCTAACCTGTGAGCAGTGGATTCTGCCACGAGACTGGGTCCCATTCCAGCAGAAGCAGCACAGCACTTGGCAGGATGGAGGAGAGAGGACAGTGGTAACCATGAGAAGAGGGTGTTGGAAAGGGAAGATTCATAGTTTCATGGGCACCTGGAGAGGGGACATCCAACAGGAAAGTGAATGTGGGGCCAGTTGTCACTGAGCTGCTTGGATGTGGGGTCACAATGAACGCAGCAGTACTCACATGAATCTGAGAAGGGGCACTGAAGGAAAGACCAGACCATTCTCTGATTTTTTGTGGCAGTAGAGTGTTGCTGGAGATGCTGAGGACTGGAGGGCTGATCTCCATGGAGTGGCAGTTCTGGGATGCATGAGAGGACTTGTTTGCCATGGTGAGGGAAGTGAAGGAGTGCTGCTTTTTGGTGTTCCTCTTGGTGTCATGAGTGCTTTGGGGCAATGCTACTCTGGGCTGCTGCTGAGGTATATTCTTCAGTATCAAATCCTGGCATGGAAGACTATCCCATTCTGTCAGCTGCGTAGCAGCCAAATTGAAATCAATGTAGGAAATCAAAAAATTCCTATTTTGTCTGCCAACATTCCTTCAGCACAGCTTTCCTTCACTCTTTGGATCACAGTCAAAACATCATTCTTAATGAATTGAAGACCGTCATTATGTGCTTCCTTGTCTTTCACTTCAAAGTCATAAAGTGCTTTGCACTGAGGTGGGATCTGAGGCAATGGTTTAATAATCTGCACTAAGTTGGTTGGGAAAAGCCATGAATTCCATTGACTTACCCTGTGGGACCAGTTTTATCAACGTGTTGTCAAAAAATGATGATGTCACATTTGCTGAATTTAAAGTCTCCAGGCTCCTTTCCTTCATAGTTATGTAATGCTTTAGGACCTGGTAACAGGTACACTCCTCACTGGGGCTTCCAGGCTTGCACCTGAGGCTGCCATTCACACTGGAAGCTCTACAGATTTTTTGCATTACAATAAGACATAGTGCTGCCCTGAACCCTTAATGCATTTGTGCAGTTGCTCACACTGCCCCTACTGGCTAGATTTCCAAGGCCTCTGCTTGATGTCATCCAGAAGCCTGACCAGCAGGATGTTACCTGGAATTGAACTCAAGGGCACTTAACCACCAAGCCACATTCCCAGCCCTAATTTGTATTTTATTTAGAGACAGGGCCTCACTGAGTTGCTCAGCACCTTGCTTTTTTCTGAAGCTGGCTTTCAACTCACAATCCATCTATTTTAGCCTTCTGAGCTGCTGGGATTAGAGGCATGCACCACCACACCCAGGTTTACTATTTTTTAAATATAGGATGCTTCTGATTCCCTACAACACAATGCTTGCATTTTCCAAAGAAAAATTGTTCAGTACTAGAATTTTGGTAGGAAATGAAATTACAAGTTGTGGGAAAGTGCATGGATAGCTGTTTCTGAACTTTGGAAATGTTTCAGAAGCATATGGGGTACTGCATGTGTCATCATCATCTCTGGTGATCTAGAGAATGATGACATGAATGGTGCAAAACTTTCTCACATTTAAATAAGTGGTTATACCAGGTGCCCATGTCGCAGAGTGGAAAGCCTCAAAGGTAATTTCCCAGATTTCACTTTTTAGCTGGGTGTGGTTTAATATCTTATTACTATTTGATATGCTATCAAAGTTTCTTTGCCATTTCAAAATCCAATAATCCTTCAAAGAAAAATGATTTTCAAATGATTTTTCCCCTATTTAAAAGTGGGAAAAGGAGAGTGGGAAGGAATGGAACAGCATTTGTTGTCTCTTCTGTCTGTCTGTTTAATGATGAGAATAACTCTATTAGTGAATATTATTATAACTATTACTAAAGTGTTATTGACGCTGGTCAGATGAGGAAAGGGCTCAGGAAGTTGATTTGAAAGTAAGTAGCTTGATACAGCTGCAATAGATGCAAAGAAGCTACTCTCATTTTGTGACTTTTACATCCAAACAGAAACAGCTCTGGAAAGTAAAGAGGAATCTGCAGCCTGGTTTTTGTGAGTTTTACTTAATGGCTAACTGCTTCTAATGGGGTTTGGAACTGAAGACAATTGGTTTGAGTCCCAGATGTGTTGCTTTTTAGTGGTATGCCTTGACCAGTAATCTCTCTGAAACTTAGTATGATTTGTGTTGCTATAATTGAATACCGCCCTTGGTAAATTATAGAGAAAAGACATTTATTTATCTCACGGCTCTGGAAGTTCAAGAGCATGGCACTGGCATCTGCTGAGTCCTACTGGGTCATAAGGTGGTAGAAGATAACACATGGTTTTATGGTTTGAATCTGAAATGCCCCCTGAAGGGCTTGTGGGGATTTTTTGTTTGTTTTGTTTGTTTTGTTTTGAGGCAGGGGCTAAACTGCTTAGGGCCTGGCTAAATTGCTGAGGCTGCCCTTGAACTTGTGATACTCTTGCCTCTGCCTCCTAAGTGACTAGGATTCCAGGTGTGTGATACCATGCCCAGCTGAAAATTTGATTCTGACACAGGTATATACATTGTGAAATATTCACTCAAACTAATTAACATTCTTAACCTCACATAATTATATTTGTCAAAAAGTTTCTAAACTTTCATACTCTATCGAACAGGATGTGTTTTAGTTAACATTGATACAGCTCTGGCCATAGAATTATAATCATTCTAATTATACATGGTGGCATAATGCCTTTGAACTTCTCATGTATTTAGAGATATTTAGAAAAGCAGTGATTTCTAGTGAGCTCTTTTCTTCAAACATTAAATCTGGCTTATTAACAATTAAGCATAAGTAGGAAGAAAAAAATTTGGATGTCCTTTATTTACATCCAGCAATAAACTATTTATCTGAACAAAAACATAATTCACCTTCAGAAGCTAAATCCATTTCAAAGAGTCATATCATATTCTTCTGTTTTCTAAACATTTATAACGACCAGCCTACTTAGAAGTTTTTACATTCTATGAGAAGTCAAAATAAAATAACATCTGAAAAAAGATTTTGAAGACTCTTAAATAGTAATCTAGAAAAACTGACATGAAAAACATCTGAAGCTTTAAGCTTCTTTTTAGAAACATTACATATGCTGTACTTTTTAAAAGGAACTTGTCATAACTGTTTGTGCCCAGGTTAGAAACTCTTCTAAAATTACTATTAAAATAGTCTAACAGGATAGTTTTTCCTATAGAAACAATTCATATTACTTCTATAGAAAGGGTCTACAGGGCTGGGAATGAAGCTTAGTGGTAGAAAGGAAGGAAGGAAAAAGAGAGGGGACAGGAGGGATGAGTCACTAAAACAAAAGGGCAAGTGGTATAAATATAAATATATGACATACGAGCTTTAGAATTTTAGTTACATCAAACTGGGTGATATTATGAGTGTATAGAATGGCACATAATAAGTTCTGCCTTGGCCTGGCCTAAACCATCGGGTGGGTGATCTGGAGAGGACTCCTCTCTGGCTTGATTGAGACAGGCTTGAACCTGTGCTGCTTCAGGATGCACAGCATAGTGAAGGGGCCACAACTTCCCTGACAGGCAGTGTGAATGTGCTAGGCCCCTAGGAGCCCATGACCAGAGCTCCCCATGCCCATGCCCAAAGCCCCTCCCCCCCCACTGCCTGGTTCACAATGGTCTGCTCTGTTGCCTGGTGCAGGTTTGTTCTTGACCAAAGGCCTGAGTGTCCACAGTCTGTTTTGGAATGGCTAAGCATGGTGTGGTTGTAGAGGGAATAGCCAAAGTAACCTTAGTGTGATGAAGGTGCAACAGCTGCCCCTCATCCCTACATGGGGGTGGTCCTGGAAGAAGTAAGCAGGGTTGTGGTGTGCATTGTCTGAAGACATGGAAACACACCCTAGTCCTTATGGCTGGCTGTGGGAGTTGGTGATATGTACAGCTATTGGATTTTTTGTTGTTCTCTTGTTTTTGTGGAGAAGTTATCAGCCTGAGAGAAGCGGGCGTTACATGAGAATAGAAGAAAAGTTTGCTCTAAAACTTTCTAGACTAATTGAAGAAAGATGTGAACTACTTGAAAAAGTTAGCCTTGTTCAAAAAGAGTATGAAGGCTTAGAGTCCTCTTTAAAGGATGCCATTTTGGTGAAGGAGTCAATAGAAGCAGAAAATTTTGAAGCAATCTATGAAAACCTGGATAGGTCCATATCTAAACTTGAGGATGAGATACTCCTTCTAGAAAAAGAGGTAAAAGAAAAGAAAACTAAACAGTCTCAACAGGATGAATTAATGGTGGATATATCAAAAAGGATTAAGTTCCTAGAAGATGAATCAGAATCCCTCAGTTCACAAATACTGGAAGCTAAAACAGCCTTTAGACTATTTCAAATGAATGAAGAAGAAATTACAGTAGCAATAAAAGCAACTTTGAATGAAAATTCTCAACTTCAGGAAAGTCAGAAACAGCTTTTATATGAAGCTGAAGTATGGAAAGAAAAAGTGAATGGCCTTAATAAACAGAAAACAACACTTGAAGACTCCAAAGTACAAGTAGAACAAGTTCTAAGAGATAAAGAAAATCACAATAAGTCTCTGACTGAACACTTACTGCAGATGGAAGATTGGGCTTCTGTGTTTGGAGAAGTCCTAACAGATTATGGTAACTTGGAATTAGAAATGAAGAATGTTGATGCTCACTTAGAGGATTAGCCAAAAGGAACTTTGAAGAAACAGTTTTATACTACTAATTTAAAGACCTCTTTTAAAACCTTACAAGGAGAAAGAAATCAAATTTTTACTTTATTTTCTGAATTAATTGAATCAAAGGAAGACCTTATAGAACATATTAAAAATCTTAAGACAGAACAAGCATCTTTGCAGTCAAAAAATACACAATTTAAGTTTCAGCAGAAACTCAAAGTCATGATTGAACTACATCAAGAAAATGTAATGAAACTCCAAAGGAAATTAATAGGAGAGGAAAACTACTAGATAGAGTGAGAAGAGGAACTTTCCAAAATGGAGAAAAACATCAGCCATGCAACTGAAAAACTGGAGACCTATAGAAAACAAGTCAAAGACCTTGAAGAATTGGAGAGAACCATTCATTCTTATCAGGAACTGATTATGTACTGTGAGAAGAAAGCACATGATAATGAGTTGGTAGCTCAGAGTGCTGAAAGATACCTCAATGATTTAAGGAAACAAAATGCTCATGACAGACAAAACTTAACGGAAAATGAGTTTGAATTTAAACTTGTAGGAAAAGATCCTTCTGCAATCAGAAGTCCATTGTTTCCAGTGGATCCAAGGAGTCAGTTCATGAGAAGAGGACCGTTTTTTCCTCCACCTCCTCCAAGAAACATGTATGGAGCATCTTGAGAATATTTTCCACCAGGCCCACCACTCCCTCCATTCCCAATGAGACCGTGGTGTTTTCCTCATTATCTTCCCCCAAAAGCTGAATTTCCCCCTCCTCCCTCCCCTGCCTTCTGAAAGTACAAGTGAGTTCCCTTCAGGGTTGATTCCACCTTCAAATGAGCCTGCTACTGAACATCCATAAGCACAACAAGAAACAAGAAACCTGACAACAGTTTTTATCTTCCTTCAAAAGTAATATATCTCTTATTTTTAGTTTAACTGCTTTTATTCAAGTGATTACACTTTTGCTCCAATTGAAGCTTAACAGAATTACAATTCTTAGAATAATATTTTATAAATAAAGATGGTTTAAATATGAATCCTATGAGTAAATTATTTCCATTTTATTTTATTCTGGATAGTGTTACTTAATTTCATTAATTTACTATTACATAAGCAAAAGTGGGAATATTATATACATAATCTTGCAGTCGGGATATTTTAAAATCTAAACAAAGCATGTGCCTTGATACAATTAAATGTACTTATTATGATTGTAGCAAATGTAAAATAACTTTATGCTTAATGAAAGATTTTAATTGATTTCAAGTCTTGCTTGGCATTGATGATGATAATAAAAATCAGCTAGTTTTTCCATAAAAGAAGAATAACTAAAGCATATTAAGAGTATTGTTCCTTATATTCTTTATTTTATGCCCATTTTCATAAAATTAAGAATTGTATTCTGCTTTGAGCTAAGTCCCCTTTTTTATTTTTGTATTAAGAGGCATGTCTTGAGGGTATGATGTGCTCATTCAATGAAGACTTGTGTGGTAGAAAGGGGAACTCCATAGGTTAAATTATATTCCAATGAGTACAAAATTGTGCAAAAGCACAGGTTATATATGCAGGGACTTATCTGCTTTCAATACGTAGGCTTGTCCATAGTGGCAAAGCAGAGTAATAAAGGAGAAATGTAAGCAGATACATTTTTAGATTAATAGGTGGTAGCTCAGGTAAACCCAGAATGAGTATCAGTGGAAATATGAAAAAAGAAGTAAGGATGAAAAGGAGGGAAATGGGGAACATGCATTTGCCAAAGTGCATTAGAATGTAGGCCTCATGGATTTTCACATAGGGGCCAGGAAGGGTGTACAGCGAGAACAGTTAATGATAATGGCATGAGCTTGTTGGGAAGAAATGGAAAAATCTTCTTTAGTGATTGTGCATTTTGATGGAAAAAAAAAATCCATGAGGTTTTACAGCATCTAAAAATAAAAGATAAAGGGATCTCACAGCTATATCTGTGTGGGCATTATTCTCTGTCAGAGGTCCAGGAATCTTGGTGTGGCTGTGCATATGAGCAAGGAAGATGGGGGATATATGATGATGTGAAAAAGTTTGAAAGGTTAAAAAAAGAGATAGTAAATTGGAATCCAAAAGAGGGGATAACACAGCTACAGAAATATAAGGAACCGGTTTAGCCATATAAAGAATTTGTAAAGATGTTTAAAGTAGTAGAAAATAATCTCAGTGCCAGGATAATGTTGGTTAATTCAGCTTGCTGTGGAGAGATTTGAGGCAGGATTCTGTCGTTTCTTTAACAATTGGAAAGAAAAAGGAGAAGTAGTTGGGCGTCAGTTGTAATTTCTAATTTATTTAAGAAAACATATCAATGATGATTTATCCCAATTATTTTAAATTTAATTTACTTATTTTAAACATAAAATAAGAACATCAGAAAATGTGATTAGCAATATTAATTATCTCTTCTCTGTTAAAAAAATTTTGAAGCGATGGATGTTATATTACATTTTAGACATTTTTTAGAAATAAATAGTTTATTGTCTGGCCATCTAGAAAAATTTGTGAGTTAGAATTTTAAAGACATCTATATTTTTATTTAACTAATTGATTTTTGAATTGAATTATTTGGCTCCGTTTACTTGTTTAAATTTTAATTCATGAGTGCTAATTTGTTTAAATGCCAGTTTGATACCAAGTACATAATATATAAAAGACAGGCCTGTATAATTGAAAATGCCAGGTATAAAATCTAATAGCCGTGATGGACACTTAAATCAAAGGTTTTAGATAGCTAGCTATTTGTCCCTGATAGTTATCAGATTTATTCACATCATCACCATGATTATATTCTCCTAAGCATTTATTAAAAGAAATTTTTTAAATGTATTTTAGGGTTAACTGGAGAAATTGGCCTTTGGACAAAGAACGTAAAAACCTTTAGCGTTAGATAAAATAAGATTTATCAGAAAAATGCATTAACTAACATAGAATATTAAAAAACTTAAATAGCCACAATACTACTAACTTCTTCATCAGATTAGAGTATACTTTTAGCTCAGATACAAGTCATTTCAGATATAACAATGTGGAAACCTGTGAAATTCTCAAAACAACAAAAAAATTTTTTTAAAGAAAGCTTATATATTTGGTATCGATTTTTGTCTTTCTTTCCTGTAACATTAGGGAGGATACATATTAAGTGGGGAATTATACAGTATGTAAATTATATCTGGGGCTGGGGATGTGGCTCAAGCGGTAGCA